TGGACCCTCCTTTGCCTACTCTGCTCTGAGGCCTGCCTGAACTACACATGATTCAACAATTCCACTCCCAGGTACCCACCTGCAGAGCATAAAATTTGAAGGGATATATACCTTTGTGTGTGTTGTGTGTCTGTGTGTATAAATGAATTAAATTAAACAACATTTTTAAGACAAAAGATAAGAAGTGAGTCATCAGACAAATGCCAGGTCTAGCTGTTCTGTCTTTGGCTCATTCATGAGTATAGAAAGTTTAAAAACTCAACTGAGTGTGACTGAGTTTAAGGCACTTGTAGACACAGACTTATATAAGTGATAGCAAATCTTTTCTAGGAGTTGGATTGGAAAATTCATAAGGACAGTATTACTGGTTTATTTAATATATTTCAAATATTGATAAGTATCCCTCTATAGATAGATTTTACTTACTCCTTTTGCTTTTCACTGTTTTGTAGTCAATTGAGATGATCTCTATGCATTTTAATATTGGTGTATAATATTAGATTATACAATTTCAGGCTGTTTTATGTCTTATTACCATTCTCTTTATTCCAATATAGAAACAGGAAACAGGACATAGTTTTGTAAAATTTGTAATCTTTACTCTTTTACCCTGCCCAACTTAGGTTTTTAAACTTTCTCTACCTTGACAGTTTCACTATTTCAATCCAAATAAATATCCATGCCTTCATACACACAGACTTCTCTACATTTTCTTGTCTTTATGCCCATCTCTGTCTGTTCCTGGTATCCTCATCCTGCATGTTTTCTTTGTCATAGTGTTGAAATTTAGCTATGGCTTCACTTCCATTTTACATATAAACCCACTTCAACCTAATTTTGAATACACTGTTTCTCTCATCTACTCATACTGAGGTCACCAGAGATTATCCATTCATTTATTCATTCCATACATTGAATGAATGAATTCCACACTTGCATCATGCTATTTATATACTACAGACACTATGAATATGAAATTGAATAGATACTATCTTTAATCTCTGAATTTATAGTATAGTAATTATAATTACTTCCTCTTATGCACTTTTTTGGACTTCTTATCCCTCCTCCATATCTCACTTCTGTCCTTGACCTTTAAAACTATTTCATTCAGTAGACATAGGTTGAGAGTCTATTATTATTATAAACAAGATTAAAAAATGGACACATGCCATCCTCACAGTTAATGTTCTACTCCTTACGTACTTGTTCTTATTCCAAGCTGACTTCCTACTTACTGTTCCTTACCAACTGTGTTTTTCTGAGCAGATTACTCAGAACATAACTGAGGTTGTCTGATACTTTTTTTATGACTCCTGAAGAAGATATTTCATATACTTGCCAAGGACATGAAGGTTTGTGTTGACAAGTAAACAAATATGCAACAAATTAAAAAGCAAGTGGGAGGGGTTGTCATTATATATATATGTTAGTCTCAGGACACAAACAACCCCAAAGTCAAGCAGTTTGTGTTACAAATAATGTCTCTAGTCTCAACATGCTACCAATTTGGATGCAGTAGAATAGAGAAAGAAGAATTTTAAAATATTGTGGATTCATAAAATAATTTAAATTGGACAGATTAAGGAATGATTAATAATTGTCTTTTCCATTTCTAGATCATTAAATTTAAAATAGCACAGTGAAATTGTTCTTGACATTATGATTATAAATTCCATAAAGGCTGGTGCCAGGTTGCTACTCTGTACTTTTTGAAGACTTGCTAAACCCATATTAAACAAATGACTGCAACAAAATGTAGGAAGATAGTGAATAACAGTAAAAAAATATTTTTTTCTCTTGTAGGCTAATATAACTATAGAACAAACTAAACACAGTCTTACTCTATATACCAGAGGAGTTTTTATACAAGGGTTTTAGAGCATAATTTCCCTAATTTAAGTCCTCTACCCCTAACACAGCAAAATATCAATCTGAAGACCCAAGCTTTAGGTAGTCATTAGTTTATAACTTTCCTGTACAAATGAATCAGTAAATACTGGATTCAAGTGTGGTGGGGGTAGGGGGAAGACATCTAGATTAGAAAGGAAAGAGTAAAACTGTCACTATGGTCAATTGGCACTATATAGAAAATCTTAAAGAAACCATAAAAATATGTAGAATAAAACATGAGTAATAAGTTCTCTCTCAACGGTTTAGTGGTATCTTTGAATATTCATTTCCAGTAGAAAGAGAATATAAACAAATGAGAATATATTAAATTAAAAAACTTCTGCATTGGGTGCTCCTTGGTGGCACAGTGGGTTAAAGCACAGCACTAAGAAGCTAAAGCCACTTCAGCATGAGTTCAATTCCCACCCCAGAGGTGATCCACTTGGCATGGCAGACCTCTCCTGACCCACCTGCTGCTCCCCTCAGTGTACTTTGTCAGTCTTCCTGTTCTCTGTCTCTGGTGAATCCTCTCACTGTCCCTGCACCTCTGGCCTGTACCCCAGTTCTGTATGCATAAATAAATAAATCTTAAAAAAAAAAAGTCTGCATGGTGAAAGGAGCCATCTATAAAATAAAAGGCAACCTACTGAATACAAAAAGATATTTGCACGTCACAAGTTAGAAAAAAGGTTTACATACAAAAATGCATAAACAACTCATACAACTAGATATAAGGTAAATCTAATGAGGAACACTGAAATGGAAAAGCCATAGCAAAATCGTTTTACACCTATATTTTTATTTTTATGAAAAAGTAACATGATCATGATCAATAAAATTTTAATCTAAAAGTTGTCCCTCCAAGATAAGTGAGATTAGTTCTCTATCAATTATTTCCCATGAGCCTCTATTAAAAGAAGAGAATTTTCATCTATTGCAAGATCATTGACAGAGAAAAAAAGTGATAGAGAGGGAAGTATAACTTATGTTTCATTTATTTGGCTTTTATTATAAAATGCATGATTAATCTTGAAAAGAGGCATGTGTCATTAAATGTCATTTTTAACAACGATACAGATTCAATTGATTAAATGATATATTAACTTAAAAATGAATGTAGGAAATAATAATGAGAAACTGGTTACATTTTTTTCTATTCTGCATACCATTGATAAGGGAACATTTTGTTCTTGCTATGTGTTTAAAAATCCCTTTGGCAACTATTCTTTCATGGGCTTTCTACCAATATTCAAACACTTCATGATCTTCAACACTCTCCAAAAGAAACATTCCTATCCAGCCATTATGTTCTTCAAAAGGGGTTAGCCTGTCCACAGTGTCCTACTTGGCTCTGGAAACAATTAAAACAAGATAAAGATAATTTAGAATCATCTGATACGTTTATTAAATCCCAACTGCAGAATCCTCTGCTTTCTCTCTAGCTCATGTGGCTAGTCATTGCATTATTTCATTCTTTTGCCTCAAAACCTATCACTTCTCTTGATTTTTAGAACAAAGTCAGTCTCTTACCAGAGTCCACAGAGTTTGACCCAGCCAGCTCCTGTCTGCCTTTCCTACATTATCACTTACAGACTGTTTTACTAGACCCTAACTGTTTAGTCCTCTTCAAATGCCCACATTTGTTCTTGTTCTACCTGTTTGCACATGAGGTCAACTACTTAGAGCAGTTACCCTCATTTTTTTGTTGTTACAATGTGGAGGATATTATGGTGGGACTCTGAACCAGTGAATGATGTTCTGAAGAGATTCTACTCCCAGTCTTCATGTGGATAAAATCTCAGGTACCAGAGATTACAATTCCCAGCATGCCATGAATCTGACTTTTTGGATAGACGGCAGCTGCAAGCTACCAGCAGAGCTAAGTGACTTAAAACCCAACAGGAGCATGCTTTTGCTCTCTTCTTCACCTGAACTGCCAGAGGTAGAAGCTGCCTCTCTGTCCAAACCTTTGCTCTTCCCAAAGTGGGGAGAGCCCACAGAACCACCTCGGTAGCAGCAGACCCCCGCCTCACCCTGCCAGCCCCTGTGACTGCAGCTTGCATCATCCATGGGTAATGACCCTCTCCCAGTATCCTGGCAGTTCTCCTTCGATGTCTATCTTGTTGTTTAGAATAAATTGACTTTTTCCCTTTTATACACCGAAGCATTCCCCCCCCCTTTTTTTTTTTGCTGTTGTAGCATCAGGTGGCTGGACTAAAACTAGGTTCTGATCCTATGACAATTTTGGTAGTATTTGCACATGACTGACTGCTTTGCATATTTCAGTTTGTTGGAGCAAATTGAACTCCTCACAGATAACTTTTTTTTTACCACTTTGCCTAAAATAATGCATTTTCCAGTCAGTCTCTCTCTGTATTTCACAGCTCACTTTTATCTTTGTTGTAGCCCTGAAAATTTGACTATTTAATTATGTGCTGCCTTCCCTCAGAGAAAAGTAACTCCATGAAAAGAAGGACCTTTGTTTATATTGTTCACTTACCACCTAGTATACACTCGAAAACTAAAGTGGATGGGAAAAAAAAAGAAAAATCAAATTTCTCTGCCAATCCCAAACTGAAAATATTTTCAGAATGTCTGAGAAGTAATCATGAAGTTTTGTGTGTGTGGATTTTAATTAATGTTGGATTTTAATTAACTTTATGAAATATATCTTTCCTAAAATATCTACTATTATTTAAACATAGGGCCATTTAGTTGCCATAAGAATGTCACTGTGCCCAGACTTAAAAGTAAGGCTTAAAATCATGAAGTCAATGGTAATATCTGCTAGGAATACTAAGAAAAGCAAGCTAGGGTGCTTCAGGTTTAGCCCTTTGGTTTACTAATCCTTTTAAATAAGAACATAAATATTGCACATTGTGTTTATAATTCTCCCAGTTGCCAACAGCTGGCACTGATGGCGCAGAGGACAGGCCTACTGTTCCAGTGGGCCGCAGCTCCTTCCCTTGCCTCAGAACCTGCTGTCCCCTCACACGCCTGATTTCTGTCCAGTTACTTTCTGCTTGAATGTGTCTCTCCATGATGGCCTATGGGCTTTATTCTGGTCTTTGTTCTCCATGTCACTCTGGACATGTCTTTGGACCAACATGGTCTTTGAGTCTGCACCAGCAGGTTTGGCTGACAGGCCCAGCAAGAGTTCCCAGCTACTTAGGGAGAGAACAGCAGTCACAGTCAAACTCCTCACCAAGGTGATGAAATCAGAAAATTTAAAACTAAGCAATTATTGCTATTATTTACAAAGAGAGCCATTTAGCTCAATTCACCCTTTTGATCATTATGGACTAATAGAAAAGGTGAAATCTGAGCTGGGCTTAAGGGTACGATGAAATCAAGCATAAAAGGAGAATAATGCATGTCAGATGGAGGCAAATGAATCAGCCATGGCAAAGCACAACAACATAAAGTCAGCAGATAATCTGGGGACAACTGCCATTTTCAAGGCCACAAAAGTAGACTTGACAAATTCATGAGGCATTTTGAATGCCAGTTTTTTTTTTTTTTTAATTTTTTTTTTTTTTTTTTTTTTGCTTTTCCTGGATGATTTTCTGAAGACCACCTGCACCATAGTTACCAGCTTGCTTCACTAAAAACACTTGGGGCCCATCTAAACCTACTTACAAGAATCTGAGATTGACAGTATGAAACTTTTGGCTTTATGTCAGGTTCACCAGTTCATTCTTGTTTGATTATTTTGTTTGATCATGATTGTTGTACAATCATCTTTAACCTTTTTCTTAGCAGTCAACCATATATGTGTAAACTCAGTATATAATACTGATAAAAGTCCTATTTTTGTGATGGGTCTGTGTGTATGTGTATTAGTGTGTGCCTATAGGTATCTCCTAGAACACTAGAAGCTCTCCACTCTCTGAAGAAAACTATTGCTGTAACTAATGGGAGCATCACAGAGAAGTGATGCTAGCCAGTCATTGGGATGTGAAATAGATTTGGAAGGAAGGTATAAGATACATGAAAAATTGCAGGCTATTATAACATATTCATTTAACTTCTGGACATGTGAGGAAACTCAGAGATAATGTACTTTAACCCTTATTTTTGAATGGGAAAAGGAGACCTAAAGAATTAAAATGATCATAGTTTTACGATTAGGCATGGTGTATTGTCAATGCTCCTACTCTTCTCATCCCAGAGTGTAAATAATTAGATTTGATATTTACAAAGCATAAAGAATACAGAATGATATCTTCAAGCCTATTCTAACTTGTTCTTACTAAAAATTATATATAACTTCATATATTTTATACAATTTTAGCATAACTTTTCTTCTACTTATTCCTTACTACTTAAACGTCCTTTCTTCTCACAACTGTTTAGTATCTAAGAAAACAATAGATAATTATGTGTATTTTTTTTCATAGTACAATGATGCTATGTGACCCCTCCTTTATGGTTTAGAAGTCCAAGAATACTCTTTATTGATGGTCTTGACATAATGCTCTCACGTAGTTGCTGTCATATCTTGTAAGTTAATGACTCTTAACCACATATCTATGACTTTCTGGCATCCCAATGTCTTATTTTCCCCTGGTCTTTCAAGCATGCTCTAATGATTGATTTTTCTAATAAAGTAACTAATAATTCTACTTATGTAGCTAGCATTTCACTTATATTTTAGCTATACCAGAATATGTACTTAATAAAAACTTTATATTACAAGCCAAGATAGAAAAAAAAAAACACAGTTTACTATATTAAACTTTTTCAGGCACTTTAGTCATTGTATTATCAAGGGTTAGTAGGGGTTTCCACTGTTTATGCTAGATTTCATAACACTATGGCTTGAAACTACCAAATTAATAAAAAAAGCATTAATAAATAGATAATTAAGCCTTCGTTGCACTATATTGTCTAGTTTAATGATGAATGTCAAATTCTTGATGAATATTTAGTTGGCATCTCTTGTTCAGATGAGCATCTGATAGGCTTGGTCTAGTAACACTCTTGGTGTTTAAATGTTACAAGATGTGGAGAAAAAATGTTGATTTCACTGTGCAATCCATAAAATAGATTTTGATTTATGAGTACCCTAATATTTAAACAAAATTGTCCATGAAACTACACATGAATATTCTGGAAGATTTCACTAAAAGTTTCAAGTATGTATTATGTTAAAATACTGAAAAAATACTACACTGTTTACCTCATTATCTATCTGTCTACATAGTGTCAAAAGGCTAGAACTTTGAAATACTGAGCCAATGAAGTGAATTTTCCATCCAAATGTTTGGCATCATGGGACACAAGTTTGGTTGGCTTTTTCTTATTTTATATTTTTGTCAGTTTAATTGCATCAATTGAAAGGAGACTGAATTAGAAATAAGTTAAAGAGTAAGGACATTGAGTGGAAAACACATGAAAATTCTTGATTTTATTATTTCAGATAATTGGAGCAAAGCATGAATAAACAAAATTCCTGAATTCCATTAATTTTACATTCTTTTTTTATATTTTCTTTGCCAAACTGTTTTATTAGCCTAAATTATTATCAGAGTGAGCATATAATGGTAGTAAAATAATTTGAGTTGAATGTCACTTTTAAATTATTTTTGCATCAAATAAGTAAAAAATACAGAGAGAACTATAGAGGAAATGTGACAAAAATTGTCTAGCACTCAACCTTATCATTTCCAAGTATTTTCTTAAGTTAGATTGATTGGTTAGATTGACTGTTTAATTGGAATGACTTTATTTACCATACTTTGTAAGTTTCTGAGTACAGCTTCACATCTTAACAAATGTATATACCACAGCCACCACCAAAAATCTAATTACTGACCTCCATCATCCAGTGGACCCCACTACTCACTGCACCTGCCATTCACCCCATTTTCATCTTGTTACCTTCTTTCTGCTGTCATAAAACTCTGAAACACTATAAAACACATTGGTTACAGAGGGAAGGGAACATGAGTACACCGTAGAGGATAGAGAAGGTTATGTGACTAGCCCATGGGAGCTTTCTTGGTGGTGAATCATGTGCAAGGCCCAGGAACAGCAGTACTCATATAATTACATAGTTATGCAAAAGAGTGGTAAAGCAATAGAACTGATTTAAAAAATGTTTTTTTATTCATGTTTCTTTATTTCTATTATACAGTTTTGTCCTTCTGACATTTCATTTAGTATAATCCCCTCAGGGCCATCAATATTGTTACAAATTTCAAGATCTTATCTTTTTAATAGCTGAGTAATATTCCATCGAGGGTATGTGTGTGTGTGTTATATGTTATATATGTGCGTGTATATTCTCGTATATACATATATGTGTGTATTTGTATATATATGTATATGTATATTCTTATATGTAGGGGTGTGTGTATTTGTATATATGTATGTTTATACATCTTTATCCAGTCATCCCTCCATGGGCATTTACATTATTTCTGTATCGCAGCTATTATAAATAGTTGAATTATTGTTTTTATACTCTTTGGACAAATAATCAAAAGTGGAATAGCTGAATCACATGACAATTTCATTTTTAATTTTTGGAGCAAATTTCATGCAGATTTGCCTAGCAACTTCCCCAATTTACATTCCCACCAGCAGCATAAGAGGGGTCTTCCTTCTCTACATCCTCCCTTATAACTAGTGGGAGATGAAATCTACAGTGACTTTGACTTGCACTTTCCCAATGGCAAACAATGGAGATCTTTCCATGTGTTTATTGGCCATCTGTATAGAATCTTTCATAAAATGCCTATTTAAATCCTTTGCTTATTTTTCAATCAGATTGTTTTTGCTATTTCTTGTATAAGTTGCTCATATATTTTGGATATTAGCCCTTTTTATGATAGATGAAGTGCACATATCTTCCTGCATTCAGTAGACTGGATTCTAAGGATGGTTCCTTTGCTATGCAGAAGCTTTTTAGTTTGATACAGCCCCATTTGTTTATTTTGGTTCTGTTTCCCTGTTTTTTGAATCAAATCCCTAAAGATATCTTTAAAGCTGATGAAAATGAACATATTGTCTATGTTGTCATTTATGTAGTTTCTGGTTGCAAGACTTACATTTAAGTCTTTAATCCATTTTGAATTAGTTTTTGTATAGAGTGGTAGGTAGTGGGCTAGTTTAATTCTTTTGTATTAAAAGGAAATAGTGTTCAACACTGTTTATGGATAACTAATTTACAACAAAGGAGTCAAGAACATACAATGGAGTAAAGAAAGTAACAGATGTCATTCTTGTTTTAGACTGTTCAAACTAGTAAACATAAGTTGCAGAAGTTTCCTTCTGTTTAGCTACCTAATTCCATTCCATTGTCTGAATCTACAGAAGTCATTACCATCTAGTTTTCATATTTAATATAATTAATGTATACAATGAATTTTTAGTGAGTATTGCAATTAAAACCTTTACATTTTATAATAATGGATTTTTTTCTTTTATTACTTAAGGAAAATGCATTTAATGAGAGATCAATTATTCATTTTTTTAAATTTCAGAAATATAGGTATATGAAAAATTCATTGGTTTTAATACTTCCCCCATGATTAATAATTCATAGGCTCTTTTATTGGTGGGCTGCTTTTATACTTGACTTACTTTTTCTGATGGGTAAAAATTACAAAATAATTAAAAGAGCATATACTACTACTCATGTGTATATAACAAGGACCAATATAATTTTTTTGTACCTTCAACATTTACATCCTGGTTGGTCAAAGCGTTAATCTATTGAAGGAGGGAAGGCGCACAGAGGAGATTAAAAATGTTTCAATGAATGAATGAGGTGACCTCATGCTTCTGACATTTAAAATAGTATTACTCAGGATGAAAGTGGAAGAAGAAATACAAGGTACACATCACTTCCAGGTGTTCACTAGAAAAAGTTGGAGCAAGGAAAGAGGGATTGGTCAGAGAGCAAAGAGCTAGTATACACCAGCCCAATATGAATATCAGGAAATCATTACACTGAAACCTAGGCAACCTTAATTGGAATGCAGTGTAGTATGCTCAGACATGAGAATCTGGTTGAGTCTGCTCACTTCCTGAGTGGTTCAGAAACTAAATGGAAAGGTCATATCACTTGAAGTAATTGGAATGAATGAACAAGCCAGGTGACAACATCATGTAGCACATTCAAGGGGGAAAGAATCTGAATTGGTGAAGGGGAGATATTCTATTCTATCTTGGTTGTAAAGGATCTCAATTCTCCCAGCTACAGACTATGAAGTTCCATGCGAACGATCAGTTAGTGGACAAGGGTTATCATTCCAGATACCTATGGGCACCATCAACATATGTCCAAGGTCTAGCTCAAAGAAAAGAGATCATTACCACTGTCTTCCCT